GCAACGCCGGCCCGCGACCGACGCCACGCGATGGTGCGACGCGATTATAGCGAACTCCTATATGGGACACGACTCTACTCGACAGCGTGAATTCCGGAATCGGACTCTACTCAGTAACATCGCAACCGGAAGTTCACTCGGTAACGCGATAACCTGCGTTCCGAGGCGACAGCACAACGCTCGGCGACGCAATTATAGCAAGCGCGTCTCCGCGACGCGATACTAAACGATAACGCAATTACAATAAGCGTTGTTGGCGCCTATCGCCTGTTATCATAAGAGCGAGGCTCGAGCGAGCGAATGCTGTGCGCCATGGTTTACCGACTCTGCTTAGCGCTTCCATAGCGCCTTCGCGGCGCTGCTGTCAGCCCGTGCGTGCAGGGGGTTATATGGCCATATAGATACAGTTAGGTAGTAACAGTCTTCGTCTGTACATGGTAGAGCTGCATTCTGCGTTTTGTTTTGTTCGCATTAGCTAATTAGCACCGAGAGTGAGTTATTGTACAGTAAGATTAAGAGTATTAAAGTTCATTTCTTTAAGCTCTGCGTTCATTCATTCCGCCCTCACATTGAGAGCAATCATTGCCACAAGGCAGGAGGCACAGTTCTCCACTCATGAGAAAATAGCGTTCCACATAACGCAAAGGGAAACAATTCCCCCGCAACATTGGTCCTTCGAGCCGGATAGTATGCACAGGCATACGGATTCATAGGGATTGCCCACGGACTCTACGAGCTTTGAGGCTTGAGTTGGGCGTACGAATGAAGGTACTACATGCACAAGCAGATAATGGTCGTTGCAAGCGTGGCACAATACAGGCACCGTAATCGCACGCAGTAAGTAATTACAAGGTTTATCTTACAACTAGCTACGCGTCACGAGGTAAGAGCATTCTTTATGATCTATGACATCAATAAGAAAATCGCAGTCCTAAAAGGTCTTGAAACATCGAGGTCTTTGTTTCCGCTCACAAGAGCCGCCATATTGTACGGTCAGCCATTGCATCATTTTCGCCACATAAGCGGCCATTTCTTCTCGTTTTAGCTCGCCACAGCGGCCATTAGCATTCATCTAAACTCTCGCTTCTTATTGGCTGAGCCGCCGCGCAAGCACATTACGGCGACTGCGCAGTCAATATCTCGCTCGGCATAGCCACCGCGTCGAAAATGGATACATTATCCTTATCTGATGCAAAGAACAAAAGAGCTCACATAAGAGCTGCCGCCACGCGGCTAAAAACCTTTATCGATAATTTTGACGCGATCGAAGGCTCACGGCACGACCTCACTGAGCGAAAGCAAAGGCTCTCAGATTTATGGGGGCAGTTTGACGCTACCCAATCGCACATAGAAATTCTTGAGAACGCGGATCCCTCGATCGTCGATAAAAAGGTGCTCCAGGAGCAGCAAATGCAACAGCGTGACAGTTTTGAAGGGCCGTATTTTCAATTAATGGCTCGTTACTCAGCTCTGATTGAGCAAAAAGACAACGGCGCATCTCAGCCGAATTCATCACTCGATAATAGGCACGCAACAGGATCGAGGGAAATGCGTGTCAAATTACCGAAGATAGATTTACCAGTTTTTGCAGGTGCGTACGAGGATTGGTATTCCTACAGGGACACATTTGAAAAGTTGATCCATTTGAATGGGGATTTGTCTGAAATCGAGAAGTTTCACTATTTGCGAGCCTCTTTAAAGGACGCTGCTGCCGACATAATCAAATCTATAGAAATCACTACAGCTAATTACGAAGAGGCATGGACAGCAGTCAAGGAGCGCTTTGACAATCAAAGATGGCTTGTTCAAAAGCATATTCGCGCTTTGTTCGAGTTGCAAGCTATGCGCAAGGAAAATCATGGCATGATTCGTGAGCTATTAGACACCGTGCTTAAACATTTGCGCGTGCTAAAGGCCCTCAATAGGCCCACGGCTTATTGGGACGATTTGATCATTCATCTTATTGTATGTAAATTGGATGTAGCCACTAGTAAAGCGTGGGAATTAAGCATTAAGGGAAAGGACTTGCCAGTTTTAAAAGGCTTAATAGAATTCTTGTCGCTTCGGTGCCAGGCCTTGGAATCGGTTAATGGTAGAAGTCACAACAGCTTAGCAAGTAGCGTCACACAAAAGTATAATAATAATCCTAAGTCCCTATCTGTCGCGAATGTCGCTACATCCAATCTTTCTTGTGCCGTATGTAAACAAAATCATTCCTTGTATCATTGTAAGGAATTTCTTAATTTATCAGTCGAGGATAGAATCAAAACCGCAAAAAAGGCGCACTTGTGTCTTAATTGCTTGCGATCGAGCGCACATCAAACAAAAGTATGTAACTCAAGTAATTGCCGAAAATGCAATAAGAAGCACAACACGTTGCTGCATTTGAATAGTTCTAGCAAGTCCGAGCAATCTGTATCTAATGCGCAATTAACAAGTCAAGATGCCAATTCTCCGCTCCCCGTCGCCACTCAATGCACGTCAAGTCATCGGTCCTTAAATATTTTGCTATCAACCGCGGTTATTAATGTATACGATTCTAGCAATTCAGTCCATTCGTGTCGAGCATTACTCGATAGCGGTTCTCAAATGAATTTCATAACCGAAGAGTTAGCCAATCGGCTGAAGCTTAAGGGGCGACCTCTTGATGTTGCAGTGGCAGGAGTCATGGATAGAGTAATTCGCGCAAATAAAATAGTTAGTCTATGCGTCAAATCGCGTTTTAATAATTTTTGCGAAAAAATAGATTGCATTGTGCTTCCAAAAATAACACAACACTTGCCGCAGCATTTCATACCCATGCAAAGTGTGTACATTCCAAAACACATAAAACTTGCAGATCCGAATTTCAACGTGCCAGCTAGCATTGACATTTTAATCGGAGCCGAGTCCTTCTGGAGGCTCATTTGTGCGGGTCAAATCAAACAAGCTAAGGATCAGCCAACGTTGCAAAAAACACAGTTTGGATGGGTAATCTCTGGCGTCACACCAAATGACATAACCGGACCTATTTCATCTCATAATTTTCATTTAACCTCACTCGACGAGTTGAGGCTTACATTAAACCGATTTTGGGAGATTGAACATTGCGTTACCGCAAAATCATTGTCTCCTGAAGAAAAGGCCTGCGAAGCGTCGTTCCTTCAAGGCGTAACCCGCAATGAAGGGCGTTTCATCGTCAAACTTCCAATAAGGCAAGATAAGATGGATAACCTGGGCGAATCCAGGGACATAGCTCTAAGGCGTTTCAAGTCTGTGGAGAAGCGTCTCATCACTCAGCCCTGCATGTACAACGAATACAAAAGGTTCATGGATGAGTACGTTCAACTAAATCACATGAAAGAAGTACACGATAGCGCAATGCCTAGCTCTCCGGTCGTCTATCTCCCGCATCATGCCGTACGTACTGGAGCAGGTTCCTCTGCAAAGTTTCGGGTAGTATTCGACGGTTCATGCAAAACCACGACCGGGTTATCTTTGAATGATGCGCTGATGGTGGGTCCCACAATGCAAGAAGATCTTTTTTCCATTATGGTCAGATTCCGAACATTTAAAATAGCTCTCACTGCTGATATAGCAAAAATGTATAGGCAAGTTCTGGTTGATTCGTCGCAAACATCCTTGCAGCGTATTTTCTGGCGAAAGTCCATCAAGACCTTTGAACTACTCACTGTTACCTATGGCACTTCATCGGCGTCGTTCCTGGCCATCAGGGCCTTGAGAAAGCTGGCGGAAGACAATACACATCGCTATCCAAGAGCATCTCAAGTAGCTCTCAGAGATTTTTACGTCGATGACCTTGTCACTGGCGCAGATTCGATAGAGGAAGCCTTATCCATCAAGAAGGAAATTAGTGCCTTACTACAAGAAGGAAACTTTGAGCTTAGAAAATGGTCGTCCAATTCTCTCCATCTCCAAGATCCTAGTTTCTCTGTTGAGCAAAAAGAGTTCATGCCAGCCACTCACGAGGGCTCCGAGAAAAAAACGCTAGGCATCATATGGGACTGCCAAGCCGACGTATTCCGATATTCCCCCAGTAATCATCTCAGGCCCCTGGAGACGCTTACTAAGCGAAGCATTTTGTCGCGAGTATCTCTCATTTTTGACCCCCTGGGGCTGATGGGCCCGGTCACGTTATTCGCCAAGATTATCATGCAGGATCTCTGGCGACTCAAGCTGGATTGGGATGAATCGGTTCCTTTAGAATTGAATACCAAATGGAGGCGCTTTGAAGGAGAATTGAAGGAGACATGCAGCTTGCGTATCCCTCGCCTTGTTACAACTACAGTGCAGCATGCCCGTTTGGAGCTGCATGGGTTCTCGGATGCTAGCGAGAGTGCATATGGGGAATGTGTTTACTTACGTTCCCTCTCGGTCAATGGTGATTATTGTACCTCGCTATTGTGCTCTAAATCAAGGGTGGCACCATTGAAAGGCGTATCGCTCCCTCGCCTCGAACTATGCGGCGCACTATTATTGGCTCAGCTCATCAGCAAGGTGTCGAAATGTCTCACGTGTAACATATCAGCCATTTATCTTTGGACAGATTCCACAATTGTGCTGTCATGGCTGCAATCATGCAGTCGATCATGGTAAACTTTTGTAGCGCATCGCGTGGGTGAGATACAGGAATTAACATCGATTCAGCAATGGAATCACATACGAAGTGAGGATAATCCTGCGGACCCATTGTCCCGGGGCATCCTGCAGGGTTCTCTCGCTCAACTGGACATCTGGTGGTCAGGGCCTTCTTGGCTGAAGCGTGAAGAGGAAAACTGGCCTCGAAGAGCTCTTCCTATTCAAATGGCTGACATTCCTGAGCGCAAACTAAAGGCGATCGCAGCCACGACAACCTGTGCGCAAGAAGCGGACATATTTTATCGATATTCTAGTTTTAATAAACTTGTTCGAGTCTTTGCATACATGACCCGTTTTTTGAATAAATGCAAGAGTTCAAAATGTTCATCCGGTAAGCCTCAAGAAGCATCATCCTCACTAAACAACGTCATTCAACCAATATCTTCCGATGAGCTATGGCAGGCCATTCAGGGTCTAATCAGAATATTACAGGCGAAGCATTTCGCAAGAGAAATAAAGTCGCTCAGTAATGATAAGCCCATTCCCACAACAAGCCCCATCTTAAAATTAAATCCTTTCCTTGACAATTCCGGAATTTTACGGGTGGGGGCCCGCCTGAGTGCATCTTCCTTGCCCTACGCATCCAAGCATCCAATGCTGCTACCAGGGAAGCATCCTTTTTCCCGCCTAATTATAGTGTATGAGCACGAGAAGCATCTTCATGCCGGGCCGCAGGCTACACTGGCGGCGATACGTGAGCGCTACTGGCTAATCTCTGCGCGCAGTATCATTCGGCAAGTTCTCGCAAAATGTGTCATCTGCTTTAAAAGTTCACCAAAGCTCGCGTCCGCTATAATGGGAAATTTACCGGAGCCGCGGGTCAAAGCATCTCCAAGAATATTTGATCAATGCGGTGTCGATTATGCAGGCCCTCTCTATTATAAAGAAGGTGCCAGAAGGTCTACTAAATTGGTGAAATGTTATATCGCGATTTTCGTTTGTTTAGCCACCAAGGCGGTACATATTGAGCTAGCAACCAATTTGTCGTCAGAAGCGTTTCTGAATATTTTCAAGCGTTTTGTGGCGAGGAGAGGTTGTCCTTCAGATATATTTTCGGACAACGGATTGAACTTCGTTGGCGCCGAGCGTGAGTTGAATGAGCTGAGGAGCTTACTCTGCAACGAGTTAGCTCAGCAACAGATTCAGGATCGGACAGCAACGCTAGGGGTTCGCTGGCATTTTATTCCGCCCCGATCTCCACATCATGGCGGTCTGTGGGAAGCGGCAGTAAAGGCGGCCAAGCGACACTTGGGTCGAGTAACAAACAATTCAAGCCTGAGATTCGAGGAATTGGAAACACTACTTATTCAGATTGAAGCAATCCTGAACTCCCGTCCTCTCACTCCTATTTCGTCAGATCCAGGTGATTTCGCATCATTGACCCCAGGGCATTTCCTAGTGGGTACACCTCTCACATCCTATCCTTAGCCATCCCTAGACGAGACACCTACAAACCGTCTATCAAGATGGCAGTATATAGAGCAACTGCGTCAACACTTCTGGAAGCGGTGGAAGACCGAGTATCTCCACCAATGTCAAGAGCGCAACAAATGGCGGATAAACGAGCCGTCCTTGCATATCGGTCAGATGGTCATCATCAAAGAAGACAATGCTCCTCCATTATCTTGGCCGCTCGGAAGAATTCAAGAAATACATCCGGGCAAGGATGCCATAGCCCGCGTTGCCACGGTGCGTACCTCCAGTGGAAGCTATAAGCGGCCTATTACTCGGCTTTGCGTGCTCCCAATTGAGGGATAAGGTCTGGTTATGCCATTTGAGTCTTATTATTTGTGTCAATCGCGTCTATTTATTTACCCTCTTGTTTTGCCAATAGTCTTTAAGGTTCTAGATTTAAGATTATCTTCATTTGCCATTTATATTCAGTTGAAAGGCGATCCTTTCAAGGGCGGCGGCATGTTGGCGCCTATCGTCTGTTATCATAAGAGCGAGGCTCGAGCGAGCGAATGCTGTGCGCCGTGGTTTACCGACTCTGCTTAGCGCTTCCATAGCGCCTTCGCGGCGCTGCTGTCAGCCCGTGCGTGCAGGGGGTTATATGGCCATATAGATACAGTTAGGTAGTAACAGTCTTCGTCTGTACATGGTAGAGCTGCATTCTGCGTTTTGTTTTGTTCGCATTAGCTAATTAGCACCGAGAGTGAGTTATTGTACAGTAAGATTAAGAGTATTAAAGTTCATTTCTTTAAGCTCTGCGTTCATTCATTCCGCCCTCACATTGAGAGCAATCATTGCCACAAGGCAGGAGGCACAGTTCTCCACTCATGAAAAAATAGCGTTCCACATAACGCAAAGGGAAACAATTCCCCCGCAACAAGCGTCGTTACGCGACACGACGAGACTCGACAACGCGACCACTCCGCGCGTTTCTACGCGGCTCTACTCTACTCGGTAACCGGAAGTGACTCTTCCGTGGCGAGAGGAACGAGCGCGATTCAGCCCTCGATTCTCTCCACGACTCAGATTCACTTCTACTCGGCAGCGGGTATTGCTCCCCTTACTCTGACTCTCAAAACGCGACAGCTAAATGATCTACTAGCTCGGGAGGATGGCACGTGGCTCGCGGTTCCGCGGCTCTACACGGCAACCATGGCGCCGATTCTAACGTTACGGTGCGAGCTGACTTACGTGCGATCCACCCGGTGACGTACCCCGGTCGACAGCTTCACAACTACGACGCTCGTCTCACCCACGTCGCTTCCTTTGTCCTCTCGGCCTCCTCTCGTTGATCCCTCGG